AGTTTTAAACGGATAGTTAATTGATGTCATCTTATATATCTGACAGCTTGATACTTCTCAAAAAACTCTCATCATTCGTGGTAAAGGAACAGAATGACACATCAAAATTAACCATCCAGAGCTATGACTTATCATCAGAAGTCTGTTCAACACACAACCATTACATCTAAATGTGCTGCCGAATGTCAAAGAAGAAAGAAAGTAATTTTTACACATGGTTAATCTAAATCTCTAAATTGAAAGTTGCTATGAAAATTACTCTGAGAATATGTAATTGAAAACATTTTTAATTTCAAGCCTTAAAAAAAAAAACCAAGCCACAGCTGCAACATAAGTATGGTAATATTAATGAAAGCATATCTGGCACTCATTCAAATCTCTGCCTTCCTCAGTGCTGCAAAAGGAAAAATTGCTCCCCAATGGATATTCACCATTTTCACAGAAGTAAAATTACTCTTCTCTGTAAAAATGGGCTTTCATCATTTGCATTAAATGTAATTAAATAATGTAATTAAATTGCTGCGGTAACTAGTGTATCTCTGCATGCTGCTTGGCTCCAGGAATGCTCAGTATGTATTTTCAAGTTAGACTGAAAAGAACTCATAGCAGAATTTGGCAATGTCATATCGGGCTAAAATGTTTGTTCAGGGTTTCAACAAACTTCACAAAATACATGGTGTAGAGATACAGGAAAACAAACCAGCAGATGTGACTGAAAGGCATTACAGAATGGAAAGTAAAATTTAATAACAAATTTAAACAAACAGGTTCTTATGAAGGACACTGAACTGAAAATAAACAAGAATACAAAAAAGAGAAGAGAGAGCAATTTGTAAGTGATAGCCCCTACACAGAATTAAATTTATTCCAGTGAATAAATGACTTTGTTGTCTTTTATATACAATGTACACTTCATAGCAATAGAAAATTTTGTTATTGGTTCTTATTTTGCTATTTATAATGATGAAATAGTGATGAAGTAATTTTTGGTACAAGAGAGATGCACTATTTGTAATAGTTGTAATAATTGGAGCCAAACATCATGGAAGTTAATGGAAGCATACCTGCTGCTTGAAACAGCAGGAAGATAATTTAGGGTCTAACCTACAAGTGTGGTCTCAAAAGTATATTAATACTTGCATTTCAGGGTAGGGGAGAGATGGGGAGAGACACTATCTTCATCATTTTACATGAACACTTTCCATTTGGACCAGAGTGCCAAAGATTCATTTTATCTCGAATTGGCCTATTTAACTTAATTCATGTCAGATCCTGCAGACAACTCAAATACTTCTGTTGTTATTAATTAGTCATTATGACAACAACCAAATGGTTTTAAAAATATATATTACATGCAAGTCATTTACAAGTTATAGGATTGGAAAACTTTTACCTGTAGGTGAAATATGGGTAGGAACTACAAGAAGTGATCTTTATGGAGACTGGTGCATGGTGAATTCTGCAGAGGCACTTCCCCAGGGGAAGGGCACCCATCTCCTTCAAAGTCTCACAGCACCCAGAGGAATTGCTAGTAACACTTGTCGGGGAAAAGAGACACAATTTCATCCTACCAAAGCATCACTTCTCTGTTTTGAAGGTATCTAAGAAGAATGATCCCAGCAATATTCCTCCTTATTCTGTGAAGAAACCCTTCCAGCAGGGCCATTTTATTACTTATTAAACCAACAAAACACAAAAACTCAAGAGAGCCCTGTACCTGCTCAGTTTCATACTGAATTAAACTGGTCCCAGCATCCTCAATCCTAAGAAACACAGATGTAGGAAAGTCATATTTGTATTATCCCTTTTGTGAGCTGCCCCAGCTGTACTCGGTCACAGCCCCTCCATCCTACTGCATCTTTGATTTATTTACACTTCCTTTTGGCTCCAAGCTAGAGGAAGCAAAATATATGTGCAGCCAGCAGATTAACAGCGATCACCCTGTAACTCCCTGCAGAGGATCAAAACCAGTTAAGGCCTTCTTTATATGGAAGAAACTTATGATCAACTTAAGTAGCGAAATATGCTGTTCCACTGTATCTACCTACAAATAGCTCATCAGGCCTATGCTGTATTCCAGAACAGAAGTGACTGACCTTTTACTCCACACACTGATCATTATTCTGGAATGAAATGAGTTTTTATTCCAGAGTAGAGTTGCCCATCAGGGAACTATCGCAGCACAGATAACAGCATCAGAATAAGTTATGGCAGTGTATGAAAGAAAATTTCCCAGCATGGAAAGCCTAACATCTCAGAATTGCTGTTATCTCTGACCTACTTTGCTCAAACTACCATAGAGATACCTCCACACAGGCATCCAATTATTTGTTGAAATCAACAAGTACTTTTGTGCTACACGGAATCAGTACAAGCTGAAAAAAGAGAGTACAGGAGGAAGATAGGTGGAAAGAAGTGATCTTTTTGTAGCATTTGCAGTACAGGAATTGATTTCACAAACATGCTCATCCGAGCAATGTAGTTCATTCAGTAGACCATCAGCTTCCATCAAAGAGTCATTCTTAACTTAAAATCAGCATGCCCATAACAGAAACAAATGAACGGAAAAGAGCAGAATAGTTCTTTAGAAAAAGCCCAGCTGTCTCATGCATCCGACACTGCCACATACAAATGTTTTCATTGTAAGGGAAAAAAATGCCTACCCTGAATCTGAATACCATAGATAAAAATGGTCATCAAAACCTAAATACATACCATGCAGTGTAACTTAAGACACAAAGCACATTCATAGAGAAGACCACACCATAAAAGGACAAATCTGAAGTTCTTTTAATATTTTCAAAAGCAATGTTCCTAACACTTTACTAGGTAATTAAATTCTCTTAAATTGGCTTTTGCTAACTGCACAGTTTATTACAAGGACAGCTGTTCCCAGGGATTAACAAACTCCATGCTGAATATGAGAAATATTGCTGTATTTTTATGCTCCTCTGAAACCTTATGAAATACTGAAAGAGTCTGAGAGGCAAATTTAGAACAAACTTATTTAAATCAAATAAATTAATAAGTATTCCAGTAAATGGTATGGTGTAATTTTACAGGAAGGGTCACTTTTACCTTAAAAGGACAGTTAATCCTACTTAAGTCAGAAAGTCCACTCTAGTGCAAACTGTTCAAAATTTAGCTCAGTGCAGATATGAAATTTATTGCCATTTATGGGGTGATAATGTTTGTTTCTCTGATCTGTGGAAATTAAAACCTTGTTCAGTTGATATTACAGAAGGTTTAGTAGACAATGGCACCTCTGTACCATAAGGTACTATTTCTTAGAACAGTCCTGTACCTTCGATAAGCTATTGAGTGAAAGAGGAAAGAGAAAATTTCTGAGTTTTCTGATTAAAAAGAAAAATGTAAGGAAAAGAAACTAAACTTCTGTGCGAAATAAAATTCTTAAGTCAAACTGCAATGAAACTAGATTTCTTCTTAAAAATTTTCTTCCCAGACCCTAAGAAAAAGACAATAAAGAGTAAGAAATATTACTAATGCTTTTAATGCATAATTAAAATAATAACGTAAATAAAACAATACTAAGAGAAAAAGTAATTCTCACTTATGGTAGCCTATTATGTACAGGAGTGAGATAAAAAAGCCCATTTTAATGAAAACTTAACATGTATCAACACAGTTTTCCAGTTTCTAACAATAAATTCTGTAGCTGCAACCACAGCAAAAAATTCCACCAATTTGCAAAGGAGGGGTAGAAACTCTGGAACTGCATTTCTCACAGCATGATTACTTAGTCCAGTAAATACCTGCCATCTCATTTTTGAATGATGTGATAAACAACTGAAAATGAAATGACAGGGTAGATGAGAAGTAATCATGTGCACTTCAGAGATCTGAACTGAATAATGGATTCAGGTTTTGTTTGTTTGTTTTAAGAGTAGGATTCTGGCTGGATTGGGTTTATTTCTACCAGAGGTAGATTCACAAAACCATCTTAGGTTTTGGATTTTAGACATTAAACCTTAATTATTCTGGCACCTAGTAGCATTCTCAACCTGAGAACAGGCAACTGCATTTCCACTACAAGCAGATTTCAGCTTTGAAATATTCCCTGAGTATTAACATGCCCAGTAATACTGAGGGAAGGAAGCCTTTTTCTACTGAGATTTATGAACCCCTTATAAATCAAATTCAACTTAACAATCTGCAAAACAAGAAAATTTGAAAATTACTGTTCTCTATAACCCTTGGAGGTGTTAGCAACCTGGAAGAAGATCTACAAGAGACACAATATTGAAGAAGGGTTACCCAAGCTTCCCTCAAGGGAATCCTGAGGACAAGTATGCATCTACCCTCACTAGGGAGCCAACAAGCATGGGATATATGAGAACAGAACTAAGTAACAACTGTTTTCCATAGGTCTTATTCCTGATGATTAAATTCTTTGAAGTCTAATAATACAGAAATGGCACTATAATTTTTTCCCTATGTCTGTGATACCTGAAGCATCTCTACATCTTCTGGATTCTGTAATCTTCAACAGAAAAGCACAGACCACATTGTACAAGCTTGAAATGTTGTTCTCTACCTACTTACCAGTTTTAATGATCCTTGCAGAAACACGGTATCTTTGAACTGATTATATTCAAAATAAGCTGACATTAGTTAACATGTTTCCAATTTATCATTAACACTGTCAGGCTTAAGCAAAATTACGTACAGAAGAATATGTAGAGTGGAACAGCATAAGCATTACTTCTGTAGGAATCAAGGCTGAAGACACCTAAATATGCATGGTAGAAGGGACAAGCCACTCTCTCTTCCCACAGCACTGAAATGGCAGGTAGTTACCTCACTCCCTCCTGCTAGGCTAGTATTGCAAGTTCTGATGCTTTTATCTCAAAACACAGGTGAAGGATATCAATTATTTATTAAAAAAATCCAAAACCACCACTTTTGTTCCCATTAGTATATATGTAACATAGAAGTATGACTTGCAGTAAACACACATGCAATAGATCATATTTGTATACCATGATATATGGTGCTGCTGTTGCTGTTAAGATATGATTCAACCAATGGTGCTTGTTCTTCTGAATGTTTCATTCTGCGTGTCCTTGTGCGACTGTCCACATTGGACTGAACCATTAATGGCTCCTGGCGCTTTTTTTTCTGCTTCTGTTCTAGCAGTGCTCGCTGAGGAAAACACAAAGAAAAGCATCTGTTACTGGACTCCAAACGGTAGCAACCTATGATGAAAAACAACGGACACCTTTACACCTTCACCAGTGGCAGCAGTTGGCAAGTGGGATATTGGGATCCTAGGTTATAGGAAATCTTTCCAAAAAAGCCACAGCCAACCCACTGCTAAAACACCTGCTGAAAACAGCAAATAATTAAAATAGATCTTTCTGAGCAGTCTACCAGCTGTCACAGCCTCTTGGAAATAACCCTTGGGAAAACAACAGTATGAGAGTACTGGCTGTGAAGCAATGGGAGCGAAAGCAAGGGCATGAGACAGAGACAGCTATTTAAATTTCTGTAAATTAAAAGCAGGAAATCTGCAAACTAGAATCAAGTGATAATGCTGGACATGAGCCTAATTTAACAAATATACAAGTCAAACTGTAATTAAACACATTAATTTCTCAGCTAGACCAGCTGAAAACCAAAACCTTCAGCATCCAATGGCACTGATCTCTTTAACCCGTCTTCCACAACCTCAGAGAACTGTTGATTTTACTTATCCATTATCTTCCCGTTTCCCTGCTCCTGTACAATGATGATTTTTTTTTTTTCTTTTCTAGAAAGGAGATACACAAACATCCTTTTAGGGAAGAGTAAGAATGGAGAATGGACTATTTCAGCTCAAAAGTTGTGTGGAACACCTCAACATGACTTCAAAATGATCAGAAACTAGTACAGGATTATGTCATTAAGAGACAGCATTTGAATTTGAAAATGAGATGCTGGTAGACGTGCAAGCTGATAAAACAATGAGTAAGGAAATGCACAGAAAAACATAAAATTAAACTCACAAGGTTTAACTAAAAACATGACAAAGGACCACAGAAAAATCAATGGAAAAGTGCAAACATCAAATTAAAAATTGACAGTAAAATTTCCTGAGATTTCATGGGAGAGATGCTGAAGAGATTCTAAATTACTTTCTTATACAAGTCATGTAGGAATACAGTAGCAAAATAGTCAACATAGCGGATAGTGCCACTAGTGTACGGCCACAGGGGCTAAATCTATGGAATTAAAAGATGTAAAACCTTTGTGGTAAACCTCTGTGCACCAGCATGTTTGCCAGAACCTCTTGTCCTTTCTGGTCCATTAAAGGGGTAACAAATACATTATAAGTCAGCTTAAAACAAGTCCAAGGCAGTGGAGATGGGAATCACTCAAATCACAGTCATAAGAAAAATTTTAATGGAAGTTAGAAGTCTAAATAAGCTGTAACCTCCACAGACCTTTCTTCTGCATTCCCTAATCAGAGGATGCAATTTTCTATCAATTACCAGATACATGTGTCAGTGATTACTTCAAGATCTAGATTTTAGAGAGCAAGAAGGTCCCCCTCCCAAAATCTTACCTGCCTGTCAAGCTTCTGCTGACGCAGGCTGCTCCCCTCATCATCCAGAACACTGCAAAGACAAAAAGTACGTAATTGGAACAAATTTATCACTCAAAATAACACCTAACAGCAATCACTGGAGCAAACTCTTGAAGGAGTTATCCTTATAAAACTCCCACTATGTTTCAGGGAAGTTTGCCTGCCCTAACCTGCAAAGATTGGCTGAAGAGAATTTAAATGCAGTCTAGGGAAAACTGAAAAACTCTGGCTTACATAAACTTCAACAGAAATATGTATTCAGACAGTTCACAAAGAAATGTAAAATTCACAGTCTACAGATGGCTTTCTTCTCCACTGTCTTCTAGTGCAAAATGTTGAGGTACACAGCAATGGGGTTTGACAGAAAATTTGCAGGTAAAGCATATAAGTGAGGAGTGTAAAAGAGCTGCTTAGCAACTCTGCAGTATTTAAAATTACATTAAGAAAATTAACTGGCTAATCTTTCATACACTGAAAACCAGAATTGATTCCTGAACATCTGAAAAGTCACACTTACTGCCATGCACTTCAACTTTAGAGACTGGCAAGACAAACAGTTTGGTGCACTGCCATATAATCTTTCTGCTTATTGTTGGTAGTTTGGAGATTAGCTCTGGCACATTAAATTATTTTTATTAATTAGATGTTAAAAACCAGTGGCACTGAAGTCAGAAAATTATTTTTGTGAAGCATTTTGTCAGACTACTGACCACACTTTATTCTTCTGGAGAACAAAGGTCTCTGGTGTAAGAACATTATGGTTAAATATTGCACATAGATAATAAAATCTTTTAAACTATACTTATGTCATCTACAAAGAAGACAGTGCTATAAAGCAAAAAAAAAAAAGCCTCTTACATGTAGAATTTTCTCTTACAACACATTTTTATAAAAGATTAGCCTCCTTTTTGTTTAATAAACACTCTTAACAATCAAAAGGATAAAGAAAAAACTCCAGAACAAACAAACCTGGATTCTGACCTACATACAACCAAACTGCACTGCGAAAAAGAAATATCACTTCCCATGTATCAGTATACACACTTCAGGAGACAGTAACATCGTAGACTTAGAACAGATAATAAAGGCATGCAGAATGCCACCTTTCCAATGCCAGCATTATCTAAGACTATAATCAAGCATTAGCTTTTCACAATTTACACTCAAGTTCTATGTTACAAAAGGCTGATGTTCCACAGAATTAAGCTGTGCTTACAAGTACCTTGGGTATGAAATTACACAGTCTCTTGTAGAGACAACGCATTACTCATAGTCCACCAAAAAAAAGAAAAAAATTACAGGAAGAACCGTCACACTCACAAAAATGTTCTTCTTTACATCAAGCATTCTTAATTTGATGAATTACGGAAGCAAGCTATAAAAAGAATACGCACATTTCTCCATGGTATACAATGTCAGCAGCTTTTTTCAATAGTTCTTCACTACAACTGCAATATGTATTAGCTGCACTGCTAGAAAATAAAACTACCCTAATGGATTGGCCAAACAATTGTGTAAAAGATGCCTAAATATAAAATTTCAGACTTAACAGCCTGAGAAAATCCTCCTCATTTAAGACAACGCTTGAAAAAAAAAGCAAAAAAAAAAATGTAATGATGCTAATACAGACCACAAGAACAGCAGAGGCAGCAATGCATATACCATCCTACCATCCATATCCTGGCATAACACACTGAACAGTACGAGGGAGCAGGAAAATGATCACTGAATATGACTGAAAAGCCTGCAGTTCTATCCTTTCTTGATGCCTAAATAATGCTCATGAAAGTCCAGATAAAAAGAGGATCCAATTTAGCCCATTTATTCCTCGGCTATAATAGTTGAGCGCTCCAGCTTGAGACTCTGCGCTTTGTTAATATTTTCTGCAGGACTAGTGGACCCTGGCGCTGCTGATTAGCAACCAGTATTTCACATTCCCAGATTTTCAGTCTCCTGAGACTGGGTGATTCCGAACACTGCCCATTAAGGGACATCAGGTTGTCAATAAATACATAAATACATATATAAAATAGGCTCTGTTTCTGTAGCAATTCCATCAGACCCTCACTCTTGCTGCTTTCAAAAACATCTGTAGTGGACTTTGAGACGTGTGTAACCATGACTGATCCTTTTTCTCACTTCAGCGAATCCTTGCAGAAAGATTTAGCAGTTGATCTTACACAGCATCTGTCAGTCCATGCACTCTGACATGCTGCAGGGGCCAAGAGCTGAAATCCAGAAAACCTACCCTCTTCTTTCTTTGGAAAACACGGAGGTTGAGGAGCAGGACAGCCTTTGCCCTTCATTTTCTTTTAAAAGAACAGAAATAAATCGCTTTCTCCTCCGGAAGAGTTGTGCTCATGATGAGGACACAGCCTATTCTGCCCAGTTTCAGAAGCAGCAATGTTTTTGTTGCTCAGTGGTCGAAATAACTGGGATAGTCAAGAGACTAAAGGCCCAGCACAGTGGAAAAACTATGGCTTTAATATGGCACGACCACTCCAGAAAATAGTATCATAAAGAACTGCTAGAACAGTTCTCCCCACGTTTGATACAATGCTAGAAAATCCCAGCAGCAGCATGAAACTCAGTCAGACTTAATAGAAAAATGTAACTTTAAAAGTCATGAAAACTGAATTACTGAAGAGGATGCATACATATTAGCCATCTGCTGAGCATGCTGAAGTATCCTGAAGATCCAGCAAGGTTCATTTTTACTCCTATTTGGTCAAGTACCATGTATCCACCTGGCATATTGGCTATGGCTTTGACCCATTTAAAACAAAAAGCGATCTTATACTATATATAATATTGTAAGCAGCACCTTCAGCTCTGCAGTAATAGTCTAATCCAAATTCAGTTAACAAATCACAGCCTGTATATATTTCTTTGCAAATAATTATCCAGGGAAGACTCTATCCATCTATACACAACTCCAGCAACCTACCCATTAGAGCTTACTGGATGCTGGGGTTAAGAAGTCAAGTGTATACCTATATATTGAAAAGATTTGTATTAGCAGCCTGGGCCAAGGCATACAGAGACTTAAGTATTAAATTTAGATAGTATTCTTTCCAAAAGTTAAACATGGCATTTGATTCACATATTCTCAACCTCCTATTTTGTACAGGAAAATGCATCAAATGAACAATCACCTTTTTGTCAAAGTGCTGCTTTTAATACCATCTTTTTAAGACATAAAATCGTATTTTAGAGACAGTTTCAACGTTAAATTCAATTTACACAAAAATAACCAGGCTTTCGATACTGCTGCATGTAATAATGGAGACAAAAATATATGCAACAACTTTAGTATCCTAAGCTTTTCATAATCTGTATTCCTTAAAAATCATTTAGAGAAAAACCCAAGACCAATCAAGTTTTAAGGATAAAGTTTCATGATTACATGAAGCTCCACAATTTACTTCTGAGATGAAGGCAGAAGAATATGTAAGTCAACATCTCGCTACATTTTACTGTAATTCCACATGGACTGATTTCAATTTCAGTAAAATCAGAAAAGCCTTAATTCCAAGAACACATTTCACAGTAAGTACTTCACTCTGAATATGCAAACTGCTCGCATTTCAGTGAGCTACTGCAAGAAAAAAGAATTAAGAAATGTTCCCAATTAGAGTGTGCGAACTGCATGTAGACACTGATTTGCTTTTTTTGAAAGAAACCTCTGACTCATAAAGCAGTTCTATTGTTTCTGCCTGACAAATAAGCAGATGTTTTTGTTTCTTCCTGAGACTGCTTCATAAAGAAATATTTTCCATGACAATAACTGTTTTACCAGGACGAAGGTCCAAAACCGTATCTATCACATCTCTGCAGCCCAGCAGCTGATGAAGCAGCACTGAGAAGTGTTCCTGGTCAAACAAACAAAAATTAGTAATACTCAACTTTCATACACTGTTTAAAAGCATCACCTTTGCATTTTCTCTTTCTGCCACTTCACAATAACACATTACTAATAGCAGCACCCACAGATTCTATGCGAAATCAGGGACCTTTGTGCAAGTAAAATCAACATATATTGTCAGGGAAAATTCCTGAAACAAACAGTTCACATTATAAAAAGATAAGGCAATAGATAAGAAAATATTACTCCCATTTGCAGCACTAAACCAGAAGCAATGGAAAATTAGAGGAGATATTTTCATCTTCAGTTTCTTCTGTCATATTGTCAACTGCAATTAAAAAAAAAAAAAGGATGACCAAACCAGATAGAAAAGAAAAAAAAAAAAAAATACACAATACCAGACTAATCTTCAAGATCACCCAGATCTTTTCCATGCACTCTTGCTGTGAAGAAAGCTGGTATGCTGCTGTGTCATGGGATCTCTTAGAGCATGGCTGCCTCAAAAGGTCAGGAATGGGTACAATGTGCAATATCAACATTACAAAGTCTCTAAAAACATATGAAACAAAATTCCTGCAAAGAGATAGCACTTGGCTTATTGAATACCATCTGTCATATTCACCTAATTACACTTCTCTATAATCTCTATATTTCCATGAAGTTTCCATAGTTCCATAAAACCCAACTGCTCTGGATAATATTACTGTTAAGCTTTTAGGGGCAAGCTTTCTAGCAGCACCTATGAAATGCCCATTAACAGGGTCAGGGATCTGCAGGCTGAAAGTCATGCTCCCGAGGGAATAGTACTCAGGTTCTTCAAAGAAGTGAAATTCACTGAATTCCTAACCAATAAAGCCAGCAATGTCTATAAAGTGCCAACATCTCCAAAGCCCTACACCTGCAAGTCCCCACATAAAATAAGTTCTGCTCCTCCACGTACACCATACGCTGAGTTCACCTGAAGCCACTTGGAAGAACATTATTATATCAGACACACACCATAATCAAAGACTTTTAAATGAAACAAATCACTGACAGACTGCAAGGGCTCCCCTCACGCTAGGAATCAACAAGGTTTTCTGACCCAAGGCAATTGCTCAGGTATCTGATTCAGAGTAAAAGCTGCAGCTACTAGCTTTATGGTAAAATTAGTAACTTTGCTCCTA